GATGCCTACTTTCTCTTTGCATATATTCAAGACTTCCCTGGTACTGCTAATGAAGAAGCAAAGCACATGTCTTGAACCAAACATTTAAACCTACATCTCTGTTCAAAAATAAATCTTTTAGGTTAGCCAGACTTTCAGATATTTTGATCAGGCAGTACATATGGAAAGATGTGCTAAAACCAAACATGAGAGACAGAAATCACACAAAGAATGTACATGCTGGTAATGACAATACATTGCACTAGAGATGAGCTTTACAACAAAAGACTTAAAATTGCCAGATGTGGGAACTGCATTTCACTTCTAGACTGGGGTACTCAAATTATTATGCACTTTCATATTATATTAAATAGTTCTGAAGAAGTATTTGCAACCTAATTCTTGTTCCAGAGGGAGTGTAGGTACACTCACGTAGAACTCCAGCTGAGATTCTAATACCCTAAATTAAACAACCCCACTCCAGAAATTTAGGAGGACGCACCCTACTAACAAAATAATTTGAAATATCAAAATTAAGTGAATGGGAACTTCTTGCTAGGAATTTTTGTAATTCAGACTTGTATCCTCAAAACATTTTCCCCAGTTATTCACGTTTGCCTACATATATAATAATTAGCAAGGAATATATATATATATATACACACACAACATTCATGCTAGGAAATGCTTGAACAGAAGACAAAGAACCACAAAGAAGTGTTTTGCAAACAACAGGAACATGTACTGCACTTCTCATGTAACAATTTCAGAGTGTCCTCTATTCTATTAAGCTTTCTGAAAAGGCAGAGAATTATTAATTCTACAAATAGGCTGCAATTGCTTTTGACATGTGCTTCCTTAACCATGGAAGAAGAATGCAAGAAGAAATCAATGGGAAAAGATTGTTTGGAATAGTGAAATTGCCTTAGGGATTTTGTTCTATGTAATACAACGGCCTAGGAATTCTATTTATAAGGAAGATATGGTATTTATATCTATTGATTTTTCAGGGACCTCTGCAGGCTGCAGCATTAAAATTTCACTTGTCCTAGAGGGGAACATCTTTAGTAAAATCTTGATGTTCTTCAATGGCATTGTACTTACAGAACACTAAATTTGTTGTAAAATGGGTAAAATAACCCCCAAATTTGTGATCCCTTAGCAAGACTATAAAATTTCCTTTATCATTGCACATTTAATATACTAAGTTTGAGTACTCACTTCCAGACTGGAGCTTCACACTAGGGGATCCAAATGAAGCACCACAAAATATCAACTACGGCAGCCTGTTCCTAAGACTATTTAAACTATCACCTAGAACTTAGGATAGTTTCGAGTAGTCTCAGGACCTCCATGAGCCTTCAAGAGTCAGGACTTGTAGCAAGGGATTAGTAGAGGATCTCCAAAAATGCATTATTCTTCTTCCTTATATAGATTATATTAGGAATGAGGAAACTCAAAGGGAAAAAGATCAACAGACACTATCTCCACCGTCCCCAAACTCCCATCTCACTCTATTCCAAGGGGCAGATCAACGATATTCATGCTGCAAAATGTTTATCCTGTTGTGGAGTAAGGCTGGGATACAGTCACACATTAGTTATCATCACACTGATATTGACAGCGGATGTTTTGCAAGACAGATGAGCTCCATGTGTAGAAACCAAGGTGTACTTTTTAATAAAAAAGTAGTACAGTCCCTTTTGAAGCTCCATTCAAACCTGTTGTTAACTCCAAAAATTTCTTTAATATATAGGAAATTATACTACTAAAATATAAAACAAGACAAAAATGTTTTATTCATAGAGCTTGTGTGTCTTCATTACCGCAGCTTTTCCTGTACCCAGGCCAACTGCTGCACTGTCTTCTATACTTTGTTGCTGCTTCCTTATATTTAATATGTCAAAATTTTATATCTAAGCCATAAAAGTTAGTAACAAAGGTCTGGTGCAGAGTAATGAAGGTAGAACAACTGTGTATAATGATAACATAGATAAATCAATTAATATGTTTATGGCCAATGCTAAAAAATATGAAAGATTAGGCAAGAGTGAGGTCAGTTGGTACTGCAACATGGCTATGGATGAAGACTATTCATAATCATTAAAAAAAGATATCTGCATGCTACTTTTCAAGTAAAAATAAATCTCTCTTCTTGTTCTTCTTTGCCTGGAAGTCTGAATAGATAGCAGTGCCTGACTGCTGTGGGTACATATGGGGATGCTTAAATTTAAACCTCTCTCCTCACCTTTTTGGTACATTTCTGTCTATGCACTTAGCAGGCTGTTTCTCAGCCCCACATATCTTTCCAAATTTTCTGAGACAAAGTAAAATCCACCATCTTTAACTTTCTCAAAGGCCCTTTTAGCAAATTAAGAGTGCTCTTGGAGACTCACATTCAGTTTTGACACCAATAGCAATGACTTTGCAAAAGGAGATATTAGTTCCTCATTTTACATACTAGAAAAAGAAACTGAGGAAGCCAAAATGTCTGCATCCTAGCCTGGCTCCTTTACCTGTCCATTTTTCAATACCCTCTGAGATCTGGTTGCAGACCTTACATGCTTAGGACTGCCTCATTGTTTTCTCTTCAAGTCATTGGATTTTTATTCAGCCTCAGTACCTGGTGGGCAGCTTTCCTCTACTTGGTTTCTTCTGTCTCTGCCTTTCTAAAATGGCTGCTGAAAACCCTTTCCATTTACTATCCTGATTCTCTCACTGAAACCTATCCTTTCTCCCTCCCTGCTTCCATCTCCTCAATTCATCAAAATCCTCATCTACTAGACAGTTGTTAGTTACCCTTATACACCAATTCAGACCTGAACAATTAGCCTGTTCTGTGCAGTAGACAACTATTTCTGTACAAGGACTTTTGGGTAGATAACAGACCATTGATGTTAGACTTAACTTCTGCTGCTAGCAGTATGCCATCTCTGAACTTTACCCAAAGACAGATTCAAATACTCCAAAAAAAGTTTACATATGTAAAGCACAGCTTAAAAAAAAAAAAGACACATTCATAGAAAATCATGTTGCCTTGCTTATTTCTTTGCTTACTGGCTTCAACAAGGAATGTGTCTCCAACCCAAACTGTAAAGGTAAGCATTGCAAGGTCTCCTTTGCTCTGTTTCTTTGGATAGGACAAAAGGCATGTTCTTCATCCTGGGCCTTTCTTTGAGCTTATAAATCATTGTGTACACTGAGGAGGGAACCCAGAGCTCTGAAGTGAACATTCCTGGATTCCATAAAGAAGAGTGGGAGACCTTCACACTAAAAAAAGCCAGGATTTTGTTTGGGGAAAAAACCCACCATGGTTTAACTTTCTGAATAGAAAACACTCAAAGTGACTACAGAGAACAGAACAGAAATAAATAGCTTTCCTAACTGTCTTGGTGTCCTCGCAGGCAAATCCTTAACTCCAGCCAGCTTCTCACTGGTGGTTGACTTCAGTGCTAGCACCGTCACAATAGGACATCTTTTGTGACAAATCTTCCTTGAGGTCATAATTTGTCAGGGTGCAAAGAAAGACTCAAAGACACATGTTTTCACCCTGTTCCATTACAGATTCTGAGCAAGGGCCTTAATGTAATAAAAATTTGGCTTACAGACCAGGCTCTTGCTTCTCATTTCAGCCTCAGTGAATAGTACTCTCAAATGTTCAAGACATCACATAATTCAAAACAAAGGCTGAGGTTAAACTCAAGGCTGCAGATCTGGCCACTAGCTAGCACAGCACAGAGTCCATAAAAGGCAACAGAGCAGTTTGCTAACCTAGGCAATAGATCAATCCTTTATGCTATGTACACTTTATTCACAGGGCATTTGCAGATTCAGAATGATGATGAATGAAGCTGCAGAACGCAGTCTGATTTTCATCACTTCAAGGCAGAGAACAGAGTAAAAATTATTTGTTGTTTTATCTTTTTTAACCAACGCCTAATAGCTCATCCAGAAGCATTTCTTTTTGTTTACTCGGTCTAGTTTCTTATTACTTTCCCACCTTCTGCTTTATTTTATAGCCTCATGTCTTCTCAGCGAGTCTGGAGAGTATTCTGTTTTACATGCACCACTGCATGGACAGATAGGAAGTTTTACCAAGGTCGACAGATGCTAACCTACTCAGAGAAGACAAGTTACTGCAACTTCCTAGTTCAGCAAACTATTATTCTTTCATGGTATCAGTCTGGGCAACATCAAAACTGCAATAAAAAGTACATTTTTCACAGGAAATACAACACCAAGAGCATGACAATATTTTATAAATATAGATATTTCCTCTTCTCTTATTGCCTGCAAGGGATTCAGTAATACCACCAACCATGGAAAGAGGCACTTAGTACAAACCTCAGCTAGTCACTCTGCCCTAACATTTAATAAGTTCTTTTATAGATATTTCTCTCCACATAGTTCTATTTCTCCCAAAGTTTGATTCTTACAAAGTATCTATTTTCTACTGCCAAAAAAAAACCCAAAACAAACCAAAACACCACAAACACTGCTCCATTCTCTCTGCCTAGAAGCAATTTTTATGAGGAAAACAAATATTTCTAAATTTCTTTCCATCATGTATCTTAACATGTATAAGCATTGTTACTACAGTATCACAGAGTGGTCACACTATCTCTCTCGTTTTTCTGTGGCTTATAAAGAAGGCTGGTGATAACATAAGAACAAATGTCTTGCACAGGATCCTGTTTGGTTTTGCTGAGTGCTAGGGGAAGAAAGTCAAAGCGCATTTGGATTGCCATTTCCACAGGTTAATTTCTTATCATGACCGCTTAGCAAATTCTTAAACCAAATAAAGCAAAGAATTCTGGGATGGACATAGTCTATGCCATGAAATCATCAATCCTAAGCCATGGTGCTATATTTAAAATGGTTTCTTGAGCTACAGTAACCCACTCTGGTATGAAAGGCAATTCAGAGTCACTGATGGAAAAGAAAAAAAAAACCCCTTTATTCTAACATCATACAATGTCAATTGTTTCCCACACTGCTTATAGAAAAATGCACATTCTTACCCCACAGCCAATTCCATTGCCTGGTTCACAGAGAATTTTCCTCACTCCTGGTTCAGGAAGCAAACCTGCTCCACAGCCGGGAGTGGGGCACAGGACTCCCCCCATCTGCAGCACGCACTCCTCGGCCCCATAGCGCTGGTACCGGTTGTACTGCAACACAACAGAGTGCTGTTAAACTCTCAACAGCACACACACAAAAAAAACCCACAACATTTGAGCTTGGATCTATCACACACAACCAAGTCGACCATCCTAATATTTCACATGCTAAGTTTGGCTTATTTGTCAAAAGTCTAAAATCTGCAGTGTTGTTAAATGGTGTCACTCTGCTCCAACACACCATACACATTTTCTGACTTGCAGGTATCATTTTCACCACCAGAAAATTGTGAAGGATATTAGAAGCAAGAAAATAGCAGACTGTTTCTGTAAGTAAGCTCCAGAATTCTTATATTGCTATAAAAGAAATTGTAAACATTATAAATATAGTCAAACAACTGAGATTGATAAACAATAGAGATTGAAAAGAAACCCACAAAAAGCCTCAAGGATATATAGCACCACAGCTTTATTTTCAAAACAAATTTCATGGTAACAATTGGCAAAATAATTATCTGACATACATTTATTTCAATATTAGGTATAGTTTTTTTTTTTCCAGGGTCTCCTAGGGAATTTTCTTAACTTTTATAATTTTCATCTACTTCCACAGTGAAAGACTAAAATGATTCCATTTTAATGATAGAGACAGTGACACAGAGCAATAGTAAATAACATGCTCAGTGTGTCCTCACTGACAAAAATGCCCACTCTACAATGACTGATGCTACTGCAATAATTTACCCTGGTCTAACTTACCTCACTTTGAGTTGGAGATAAGCAGAGCGAGTACAAATCATGCTGCCTACATGTAAATCACATCCACTCTAGGGTTCTGCACTGGTACAGTTCCACACTAGTGGCTATATAACCATTGTAAACCAGGCTTCAGATTCACCTATAAATCTGTTCTACTGTAGAGTAAAATAAATGAAAGCATTCAGTCCTAATAGCCCCAAAGAAAACAGGAAAATCCAAAAGGCCAAAGAAGGGAGTAGTATGAATTTTCTCTGTGAGCAGAATGACTTTATGGTGTGCTAAAAGAACAAAACAGAGCTTTAGGTTACAGCACTAATATCAGTATTTAGTGCTTCATAAACTCTTATGCCATAACTGCTCATGAAAATCTTGTTTCCTTTTTTTGGGGTGGATAAGCAAAAAAAATTCTCTCAAATTCACATTCCTTTCCAAAGGAACCACACAAGGAAAACTGAAGCATTAGGAGTAAAACCTCATACAAAAGACATATAAAGAAGAATCTTAAATTACCAAGACAGGAGTTCTACTCTATATTTTCTGTGTACATTTAAGGTGATTCTTTGGTAAATGTTGTCATAACATATCTTGTTACACAAGATTTTTAAAAATATAATTCAATTTTCTAAAATGCTATAACATATAGACACAAAAGCATTGCATCACAGAAGAAAAAAAAAAAAAATCAAACTGAAAGCATCCATCTTTGTCAATTAACAAAAAATCCAAACATTCTCAGAAAGGAAGAGCAAAATGTAAAAGGAGAGAAAGCCCTCAAAATGCAGTCAGTGCACAAATGACAACCAGAAATCCTGAATTAAAGACCTTGGACATGGAAAATACCAATATTTTGAAAAGCATACAAGACATGCCTGTAAAGTCTCTTTTCCTGACTGCACACCCCACTAGGAAGGATACTACCACCAGTAAGCAGCACACAGGCCAGCTGTTCCTCTCAAATTCTAAATTATACATGGAGGATACGATGTGGCTAACCACCAAAGGAACAAACAGATTGATACATTCACTCACAGTGTAGAATAAAGCGAAGACAGAAGCAAACCAGCTTAGAAACCAGGCAACCAGTCCAGTCCCAATTGCATAACCATGACCAAGAAAAACAGCACCTTTATTATAGATGCAGTCCTCCATCTGCTCTCAGTTGTGTTGTTCACCCACCATTGCTGGGAGCTCTGCCCACAATGGACATTCAGGAAGCCCTTCCAGGAACTATAAACCCTACATAGGGCATTTACTGCAAGCAGAACCAGCCTTTATGCTGGAACACCTGATGTTAATGCTAAAGGCAGGGGCCCCTGGCAGTGATCTCCTAATTGGTTCCCCCCCTAGGCTGGCCAGACCCTGGGTGAAAACCAATCAAGACGGTCTTTCCTGCCTGGTTGTGGACATCATTCTTATGTCAACCCTGATTCAGGACTAGAGATTTAGACCCCAGCAGTTCAATAGTCTCCTTGAATGTGGGGGCTCAACAAGTCAACTGGGTGGTTTATATGTTATTATTATGCTTGAATCTAGAGTAATGGCATAAACATTTAATGCTGGACTCTTAACAATTTTCAGCAAAGTTTTTGATCCTTGTATTAAATGCATGCTTGAGTACTCTGAGTTGTTCTGCTGGCCTTGAACAGAAATATGGATAACCACAGCTGCAAAATTATCTGCTGCCTTATTTTAGTTCATGCAAGAGACTGGACCTGAAGGTGAGGATGGTGATTATTTTACCTTGTTAAGAGGAAACTCTTGCTGGAGGTGGGACTGCTAGCAGCATCTCATTAAGGAGGCAAACACCAGTAACACTATAGCTGAGATTCTGTCAGCATTTCTATTATAAATTCTCAGCTGAAGAAAAGGATATGCTTTCCAGTCATTAACTTATGACATAAAAGGTCATAAAAGCATAAAGGAGCATAAAGCATAGAAGGACATGGAGGGATTCCTCTCCTCTCCTTTTTTTTCTTCATACACAAAAAAGGAAGATAAGTAAGATGAGAATCAATCTGTCTTGTTAGATCAAGTTACAGAAAGGAAATGTCCAGTCTACCCACTGGCAAGGTGGACAAAACCATCGTACCGTGTCCAACCGATTTGACATTTTATACTGGTTCAGCACAGGACGTGTGCCAAATCAGTAAGCACTTGCATCAGTGACTTTCACAATATTAAAGCCAAAAACAGGATCAACTTGAAGATAGGAAAGATCCTGATGAATACATTTGCACATCTTGACATCTAGTTACCTAGTGTGTTTTCTACCTTGAAAGTCCAGATATATTTATAAGATATCATTTTCCAATTTCTTTTTTCTTATGCCTGTACACCACTCACTTAAAACCCAGCAATAAACTAAATCATGTAGTAGCAGAATGTATACACATTTGCCATGACAGTCATACATAGCATATGCAGATTTAGATTCTTTTTTTCAGTGACCTGAAACACAATGACTCACTTTACATTAACAGTGCATTTACAAAAGGCTTGTAAAGTACCAAAACACATATTCATGAATTATGAATTAACTATTTACACGTAATAACAAATTATATCTATTAGAGGCATTTTTCTCCTATATACCACAGCCACACATACTACACAGGACTGATGCAATCAACATGCTGAAAGCAAGTCAATTTTCAGAAGTCCTTAAATGGCTTTGGAGCCCATGACATATTTTTGATCATATGTTTGGATGAGATATTTAAAGATATTCCAGCAGACAACCACCACTGGTTTACTTTGCCTCTTATATTTAACTGGATATTTAAAGTAGGACTTATTTAATTCAACTTGGATTTTTGCAGTGATGATGCCTATAGTTGCCATGGTTGCTTAGACTCATTTTATAGTTAACAGAAGAGATAGGATGAACTTCATCTTTTCTGTCATAGATTTGAGATTCATCATGGAATAACAGAGCACTGGAGTGCCCTATTCTATTAATAAGAAAGAGAGATCACTTGCTAGTCATTTACACCTGAAATCAGGTGACTCCCACAATAGCTGCTTCAGTTCAAATAATTCTGATCCTAAGCTATTTTTGAAACCAAAGTTTAGGTACCTATATGGATCTATGGTGGTTATATGACTGTGAACCACCTCACACAATTTTCACTCTTCAAAATTTAAACCTCTAACCTAAACAAGTCAAATAGGCTCCAATTATATTGAATGAGAAGAAACAAGATGCTAAGAAGGGAAACTATCCTGACTTACATGTGATGTCTAAGACAGGTAGGAAGTGCTATAGTTGAAGCTGAGAAAACTTAGGCCGCCTACCTAACACATAAAGAGCTGTCATTAAAAGACCAACTCTTCTGTACATTCAAAATATTTCAAAGTATCTTTTACTCAATTATTATCAATGTGCCTCCTATTTAGAGAGATGCACTAGCCACGTGCAAAACAGTTCTGGATGCTAGAATAAAGAAAAATATCTCCAATTATTTTTAGGAAAGACATCTTAAAAAGTTTACTATCCAGGGAACTTGACTTGAACTGACATTCAAGGCACCTGATTTCATTCCTGGCAGCAGCACAGCCTTCCTGTGGTTTTCACGTAAGTTGTTAATCTATATTTCTCATCAGTTCCCTGTTTGTAAAGAGGGAGAATGATACTTGCTGATTTCACTGCAGTGTTAAGAAGCAAAATCCATTAATATTCATGAGGACATAAAATACCACAGTAATGAGGGGCATAAAATTACACAGAAATCGCCAGCCATCTACTGCTGCTAGAAAGCAGCTTTTGAGCAAAGCACGTCAGGTATTTATATGCTGCTAACATCCTCAATATGTAGGTAAATAGTTGCTGGATTGACCATAGAAGCATATATTTCAACACTCTATTTGAAAAACAACAAACAAACTTTAAAAATATGATTTTAAAAGTTTTAAAGATTTTTGAGTCCTAAAGATGATCGAAATCACTAGTGCTAAAGGTCTATGAACAAGGCAGATGTAAAACATTCTGATCTTTTTTTGTCTGAAAAAATGCATCTTGTTTTGAACTTTCTCCACAGTTTGTGAATTGCCCCAGTCAACCCAAATCTACACTTTTCATGGAATAAAATTTGGAGTGGAAAAAAAACCCAGCTCTACTTATGGTATTTCAACCATATCATGAACTTCTTTTGTGCAGTCTTGTTCTGCCAATGACTAGGCCTAACAAGAACGGTACAACCAGCAGAAAGACAAACCAATAAGTGGAATGTATTGAGAACAAAACCATCATGTCATAAGTGATCGCTGGGTGCATAAACAAGTCAATTAATTTG